TCTGTAGATGGACGAACTCAAAAACGGTAAATTTGGGTGATCTGTTGAGAATATCGGATTTCTGACACCAGATTCGTGCTCAACGTGTCAGACTTCATCCCCTAGATCCATTTGAGGGCGAATTCGAGGGCCCCTGGAATTTGTCAATCTGTAGATGGAAGAACTCAAAAACGGTAAATTTGGGTGATCGGTTGAGAATAGCGGATTTCTGACACCAGATTCGTGCTCAGCGAGTCATACTTGGTCCCGTAGACCCATTTTTCGGCAAAATCGATGGCCCCTGGAGTTTGTCAATCTGTAGATGGACGAACTCAAAAACGGTAAATTTGGGTGATCGGTTGAGAATAGCGGATTTCTGACACCAGATTCGTGCTCAGCGTGTCAGACTTGGTCCACTAGACCCATTTTTGGGCGAAATCGAGGGCCCCTGGAGTTTGTCAATCTGTAGATGGACGAACTCAAAAACGGTAAATTTGGGTGATCGGTTGAGAATAGCGGATTTCTGATACCAGATTCGTGCTCAGCGTGTCAGACTTCGTTCCCTAGACCCATTTTTGAGCGAAATCGAGGGCCCCTGGAGTTTGTCAATCTGTAGATGGACGAACTCAAAAACGGTAAATTTGGGTGATCGGTTGAGCATAGCGGATTTCTGACACCAGATTCGTGCTCAGCGTGACAGACTTGGTCACTGGGGTAGGTTTGGGCGAAATCGGCGCACCCTGAATATCAAACTGTAGTTGGATAATCAAACTGCTGCTAAATTGACAGCAGTCAACATGGCGCGTAAACGCGTTAATGTGACAATTATGGCGATATGCGGCAAACTCGTGAGGCGAGTTGTGAGTTAGGAAATGTGAATTCGGATAGTTCAGGGGCTGGTAGGTGGGTAAATGAGTTTTAAACAACCTTGCAGAGGACTGGAATGGTAGATTTTATTATTTCATTGAAATTAATGCCTATTTTGAGCATCGTTGGCTGATAACTAGCGTCTGGCGGCGTGGATATTTTGTGGTGAAAACTGTCATTATTCTTGTAATATGTCATGATATGAGACATATTTCCATCAGATTATCTTTTATTTCCAACTTATACAGTATCGTCTCAACTCTCAACTGCTTATTAGTTGTCACTGTGTTTCGTAAACATTTGTGTTTCGTAAACGTAAACGCCGTGTGACGTCACAGCCGGGAACGTGCCCCGAGGGCAGTTTATGTAAACCACATAAACCGACGTCGTGAACAGCCCTAAGGTTGTTGTAGTCAAGGCCGTTGTAGTGGGTTTTGTCGTTTTGCGCTGTGGGGGTGATATAAATAACGGGTGGCGCTTACTCTGGATTTCTTAAAATTATAAGACTTTTTGTCAGTAGACTGATCGACGACGGCTGCGTAACACTATTATATTTCTTTATCTGGGCCTGGTAAGTCAGATGAAGTAAAACAAGAAGTGCGTAGCTCTACTGCAGGTTGATGTGAACAGGTGTTTTACCTGGTGCCTAGTGCGCTCCATAGTCCATAATCTTATTATTCCAGCGAAGGCAGTCAGTACCAGTGAGTACCTACCTACAATTCCAGCTAAAGAAAGTTGGTGCCAAGTTCAGACATGTAAATCAAGCTAAGCGATTCCTTATGGTGCAAGATCTTCAACCAACATTACTGAATGTCCGCCAGGCGCCAGTAGTACCTATATATTCCCTGAGATTGAGATGTGATGTTGATGTGCATTTGCTGCAAGAATGGGTAATCATAAAGCAGGCATCCTGCGTCACACTTGTTTTTTCAACCAAGGAGAGGCACTTTACTCAGAGATGCTTTCTAATCAAACCAAGCCTAACCATACCTGACCTAACCTTACCTACAACCTAAAACCTATCACCTAAAACATAAAACCTATATCCATTGACCTATAGAAGTGTTATTGAGGTCAATGGGATCATCATAGTGTGGTTTCTGGGCTGTTTTGTGTGTCATGTGAATTTCTGCTCAGTGAAGGCTATTACAGAATGGCTGAAGTGAATACCAGGGGTAGAAAGTGACACAGATAGTGTGCTGTTATTTTCAGAATATCAAAAGATGGACCCTGCTGGAAGAGGTGTCAGCAACGGCTACTATGGTGATGACAGTGGTGGCAGAGGAGGGGGTGACAGCCAGCAGCAGAAACCCAAGGATGACTTTGAGGACTACATGTGGATGGCCAATGAAGAAGAAGTGGAGAAAGAGGTGGGGAGCATGTGAAGGGAGTAGGTACTCTATCAGCATTGTATGTTTGCTTTGGTGTGGTCTGTCAGGGCAGCAGCTGCCTTCAAAAGCAGAAGTTACCTACTAATTTTTTGGATAATGGAGGGCTTCAGGATATATACTGGGCGGGACAGCCAATGTATAAATTCCCCAGGAAAAGAAAGAATTATTGCAGTGCTCCATTTGTTTTCTTTCCATGTCCTTCGTAAATTCACTCAAGCTACATATTCTTGTTTCTCTATTTATCTCAAACATTTCAGTCTTTCCTGATGATAGCAAGAAGTAAGCACATGATCATGGTTTAAAATATGAAACTATTTATCAACTGACTCATAAAGAGCTTGGATAGGTATTCTGGCTGATCTTTTGACCTCATTGCTCTTGATTCGCTCAGATGCTGAAGCAGATCGAGGATGAGCAGATAGCTCAGAAGTGTTTCAGTGAGATGCTGGAGGAAGAAGAGAGGCTCACGTCCCGGCCAGGAGGCTTTGATCAATCAGACATGTGGCAGACAGGGTGAGTGAATTCCTGCAGCGGTTCAGCTGGCTTTCCAACTTTTTATTCCTGCCCCATTTATTTTAATCGGAATCCCGACGATCGATATTTTATGGTTGACGTGATGCAGCACACGACGGGCACCGGACTTCTGGATGATGTAAACGGCCGAATGGTTTTGTTGTTTGTTTGTTTATTGGGGCTTTAGGGCGCGTCGACTGCAAAGGTCATTTTGCGCCCTGGTAGACCTATGCTGAGTACACATGCCACAGACAACCCTTTAGTTACTGAGCAGTGAGCATCAGAGTGTGTGCTTGACATCGTGCAATCAGCTCCAAGCTGTACGCGCGAGCGAGCGTGTCTTGGGGCATCGGATCGTGTTTCTCGGAAGCATATGAGGCATATGGTTGTGGAGCGCGCACGGCCGGTTTTGACCTGTACCTACGTGTCACTGGGATACTCAGGCAGATGGGCTGGTCGACCGGCTGCCTGCCGCCGATGGAACAGCCAGGCCAACAGCAGCAGCAACAACAGCAACAGCAGCCGTGGAGCACGTGCCAACCGGGCGCTCAGCAGCCAGCGGACACCCTGGCACGCGACATCGGCTCCCTGTCAGTCAACGACAGGCCCAAGGTATGTACTCTCCCGGCTGGACCGAGTTGCGAATATCACAAGTCATGTATAGAGGCCAGTTTTACCAATAGACAAATAGCCGCCTGCCGGAATTTTTTGCCTAAGGACCACAGAGCGTAAACGTGATGGGAACGTAAGCGGATAGGGCTTTCGTGTAGGATCGCGCTTACGCTCGGTATGTGAAGCGGCCTTTGGGGAAAAAATCCGGCAGGTGGCTATTTTTCTGTCGGTAAAACTGGCCTCTGGTGACCGGTTTTAGTAAATATGTAGTTAGGGTTTGCGGGCTCAATGATTCACCGCCGCCTTATGCCTAACTACTACATGTGCGCGTGACTAGTTTCGATGGATGATTTGAGCACGCGGATATTATTTCGATGGACAATTACCTGAAATACGTTTTGATTTCTGACATAGTGCGGCCCTTCATAATGCCCGGCCCTGTAGAGGCAGTGGCACACGCCCTTGCCTTGTTTAGTATCGTCCCAGCGCCGTGCTGACCGGTTCGTCCGCCCCGGCCCAGGTGGAGCTGAACCCGCTGGCCGCCGAGTTCGTTCCCGGCCAGTCGTTCCAGCCGGCCTCCGGATGAGAGTGTCTATACCGGCACGGTGACCGGTCGGCCGCGCGCTGAGCCGCGGCGCCGGACCGGGCCGCGCCGGTGACGTCACCGTCCGGTGTGACGTAACCCGTCCCACGGCGCCAGCCCGGGGCGTCGGCCGGCGCCCCAGCTCCGGTGTGGTGGCCTGTCTCGCTCCTCTCGGCTCGCTCAGGTGTCCGGACTTAACGGGAGTACAACTTGCCAGCTTCCGAGCCCCTGCGCTCTCTCGGGGTCGCCGCTGGCGGAAGGTAGCCAGGCGGACTCGCCTGGGACCTCAGCCGGCGTCTCCCGGGATCGGGACGCGGCGGGTGTCTCCATTGGCCGTGTCTGTCGTTCTCTGTCTCGATGGTGCTGTTAGGTGAGTGGGAGCGGTGGGAGAGCGGTGCGACGGCTGGCGGGCTCAGTCGGCCCCGCTGCCGCCGCCGGCACCGCAGTGTGGTACGGGTGAGTGACGGACGTCTGCGTGCGAACCGGGTGGCGGTGCGAGTAACTCGTGTTGTGCCGGCTGTGTCCCAGATGGTGAGCTGATGTGAATGGTACGACAATAAACTCCCAATCACGTTAGTGATCTGGCATAATATCTCGACAATCGTCGCCGATGAATTTTTATTCATGTTTCGCTTTTGTTTTCTGTTGTTGCGCGTGTCACCGTCCGGTTTCGGGCTGTTTTCCACGCTGACTGGCTGAGCGGGCTGTAGCGAGTGGCGCGAGTCATCGTTCATGTTTGCAACAGGGTGCTGCGGTCAACGACCTGGTGGTACAACGGTCCCATATCTTTTAGATATATTTTCTGGTTTTGGTTGTCGGGTTTGTGCTGGATCTCCTGTCCGCGACGTCGCAGAGCCAATATAAATATACTTAGACAAGAGCTGTTTTTTTTTTTTGGCCAAAGTGTTGTGTATTTTGACAGCTGGTTCGAAAACCCCCACGAGCCACGGTTGGTGGGCTTACTACCTCATCAGTTATATGTCACTAGGATCGTGACCCTCGTCTACAGAACACAACTCCGGCGCGTCGGTCCCACCTCTCAGACGCCGCACCGCCACTGTCAGATGGGTGTATTGGCTACCAGCCGGCGTCGTAGACGTACAGTGACACAAAATGGAGCGGAGCAGAGCACGGTCGGTGGATCCTCCGGTCGCGGAGCAGCACAGTGACCCGACACGTTGGGAGGTACTGAGGCCGAGGAGATGTTGTCCTCCCTCCCGTGTCTCCCTTCCCGCCGGCTGTCTAGCCGATTGATGGATCTCGGTAAAGGAGTGTGAAGCCTCACTTCTTCCGGCCTCCTCTCTCCTTCAGCTGAAGCTGAATTGTACTGCCGTTTGCGACGTTGTAATAGGCCAGTGTGTTTGAGTCCTTGAAGAAAATGCCCTGCAACACAGATCAAACAAGCATCGGTCAGGGGGGTTGAGGTCACAAGGTACGGGACCAATTGTCAAGGAGACCTGCAGAATGCATCGCTGAACGGTAATCAACCACATCGGTAAAATATCACTCAAAACATGACCTTGCAAAGCTCCATTTATAATTTGAATCACCGCCGAGCCATCAGCAGCCGTAATGTGACCTTCACTGACATCAAAACTCTTGTCCCACCCTGACCATCCTAGGTCAACTGCTGCTGTAATTCATACGCACCTCTCCGAGCAGCTTCTGTTTGCCGGGCGGCAGGCCGGTCTCGTCATGCAGTCTCGCCTTGACCACGGAGACCAGCTCGGTGAGCGGCATGGTGAGCGACAGCGCCTGGCCGCTCAGCCGCCACTCGGGCTTGTCGGTGACGGTCGGCACAGCCACGCAGAAGGTGACAGTGCCCTGCGGGTGGCGCGCCAGCCACATCTGCTCAGGCACCAGGCTGTCCTCGGTGCGCGCGCGCTTGTTGGGCGGCTCGTCGTCACCGCCGGCCACCATCGGCTCCGGCGCCATCTGTCGGGGGGGGGGGGGGGGGGCGTCAGAGCCGGCAGCAGGGGAAATACTCCAGTGGAACAACACGTGTCGGGAGAACGAGGCCGACCAAACAGGGTTATGGAAACAGGGTTCTGCCCTTTTATAAACGCACTGAGCAAGCTGGCGCTATATCAGTAATACATATGTAGATACAAAATACAACTATGGACCAGTCACTTCACTTTTATCACGTTACGTCGATAGATAAAACAGCGAGCGATGAATTCCTTCAGCATAATAAATAGCCAGTGAATGTAAGTTCGTGCAAAAATCAAACAGCATTGTCGGCGGCGAAGTCTAAACGTTGAGCTGTAGGGAACGATGTCAGCGAGGTTTTCTCACCTGCATGGGAGGCCGTGGCGGCCCGGGCTGCATCTGCGGGATGAAGCCGGCCGGCATCGGCTGCATGAACATTGGCCGCGCGGGCACTGAAACGCATGGTCATAAAGCATGGTTAGAGTCGGGACAGTGAGCAACGAGAATGTGCTCAGCTGAACCGCTCACGGTACACGAAAAGGGCAGCTAGCCAAAGGATAGCAGGTGAAAGGGGTCTGTGAAACGAAATGGGGTAGTGATACATGCATGATTGTCCAGTTGTGAAATAATAAAGTTGTACGTTTAGGGTTAAGTCGAGATCCACAAAGCAACTTTGGAACGATTCGATGCAAAGCAGAAAGACAAGGACAATCAATACATTATTTAAAAGTGTTTCAAATAATTCAAAGACTCGATCACGTCCATCACCTCAAGTCCAACAAGGCAAAATCTTTCGGAGTCACCAAAATTACCACCTCGGCACAAGAGTGAGTGAAGCGTCGCCCCACCCGCCGCTCCGCTGTGCCGCGGTACTCACAGACGACGGGCGGTCTGGGCGCCATCATGACCCCCTGCGGCGCCATCTGTGGAGCCATCAGTTGCGGCCGCAGCAGCAGCGGCTGGGGAGGCTGCGGCGGCTGTGCCGGCGTCAGGCGCGGCGCGGGCGGCGCCGGCGGGGGCGGCTTGGGCGCCTCGCGGGGAGGCGGTGGCGGGGGCGGCGCAGGAGCTGACGTGGGCGGCGGCGGCGGCGCCGGTGCCTTGGGTGTGGGCGGCAGCGGCGGCGGCGGCGGCGGCTGCCGATCGCGCTCCTCACGATCGTCCCGGTCGTCGCGATCGCGCCGGTCGCGTCGGTCGCCACGGCCGCCGCCCTTCTTGGGTCCGATGCGTTCCGTCTCCTCCATCAGACTCCTAGCCTTGTTCATGTGGCTGATCTGCTGGTCCAGTGTGATACTGGCGCGCGCCGCGCTGCGCGTCGACTCCACGCTCGACGAGTGGCCGTCCCAGATGCTCTGAAACAGGCCGGGCACAAACGTCAGGAGGCGATGACAGGTTCCATTGCTGGTTCCAAGCTAATTTCGTCCTTGGAATCAGACGCCACAAACCTAGTCAGTTTCTAACATACGATCAACTGCTTTCTAGCTATCGACTGAGGGACAGAACAGCCACCCAGACAACCAGTAGACAGCCTGCCCCTAGGCACGTCCACCGAGCCTCACCTTATCATCCGCCCTCTTCTCCTCTTCGCCGATCTTCTTTCCGATGATGGTCTCCTCGTCTCCGGCGCCGAAAATATCCGTTCGCCGCTCTGCCAGGTTCTGCAGGTGGGAGCCAATGTCGCCACCTGGTTGACACATGGGTAGAGTCAGAAAACTGAAGAAGACTCGTGGCATCGGCATTCATCTCGCCAATAAAGTCAGTCGAGACTGAATTACTTTTTCTATGGAACTAATGGAAAGACAGAAGCAAAAAGTAACTTACGATGACTGATCGATTACATAAATTCATATTAAAGGCAGTAAATAGCACTAATCACAGACTCAAAACTGTACTGCACATTTCGGCAAACCCGTCCCAAACAAATTATCCGTCAGTCATCACAACTATTCTGGTCCTCAGACCGTCCCAGCATGCCCACGCTATTCCTCTCCGCGTTCCAGCACATCTCACTGACCGGTGGCGAAGACGGTCTCCTGGTTGACCTTCTCGTTGAGCTGGCGGTCGCGCTGCTCCACCCAGCGCGGGTCCAGCAGGCCGATGCGCATGTGTTCGGCCACCTGGCTGGCCGGGATTCTCTCTCCCGTGATGGGCGAGATCAGGTACTCATCCGGAGCGGGGGCGCGAGACGGCTTGGCAGCAGCTGCAGGAAAACAGTTAGATAAGATCAACGGTGGGTATATCGATGGAGGGAAACACATCAACCCATCAGTTCATAAGCCTGGCGTGAGCAGAAGTTTAGTCAAAAGGAAACGTGACTTACTGCGAGATTGAGAGGGTTGCAGCAGATAGCTTCTGAAGACCAGTAAATAAACGGATTACATGGCGAGATCATATGGCGTCTGGTAATAATAATTATTGGTGTTCTACTTCCCTGTTCAATGCTCATAACGCAGCCGAATCTCTTTTATCACCAAAAGCCACTCCTTTCAAACCAAATACCGCGTCTCCTCTCGGGCTTACCTTTCGGGTCGTATTTCTTGATGACCACCTGGTCGGGTTTGGGAGGCATGGGCGGCGGCGGCGGCTGCATGCGCGATATGGAGGGCGGCGGCGGTGCCTGTCGGCGCGGCTCCTCGGCCTCCTCGTCCGAGTCCTCCTCCATGTCCTGCACCTGGGTGTTGTCGGCCACGCCGCGCTCCGGCTCGGCGCGCCCCTCCTGCTCCTCCTCCTCGTCCTCCGAGGACGACGAGGAGCTCTCCTCGGGCTCCGGCTCGGGCTCCGGCTCCTCGTCAGACATCTGCATCTCCTCGCCGTCATCGATCCGCTCCTGAGGACCGAGAAACAGGCAGCTCTGTGTCAGCGATAGCAGAAGAATACCGAACTACGACAGTACTCCGTGAGAAGCGCTACTACATGGGACTTTGTCCACGCAAAGTCGACGAACGTGGCCACCATTACCATATCTGCGGCCGCTCAGTTGCCGTTTGAAATAACGTAACTCTAGAGCTTTGTCGCCACCCCGTCACTGCACTTTCACGTCACAGCTATCCGTTACCATTCCTTGTCACCATCCCTACAACATTCCCAGTTGCCGCACTGCCATTTTGCGGCACTTCCCTCGCCACCATTCCCATCTCCACCTCTCTCACCAGTCACCGCCCCAGTTCATTCACCATTCCCCGCCCCTCTCACCATTCCCACTCCTCGCCCCTCTCACTACTCCCCGTCCCCACCCCTCTCACCCTTCTCCGCCCCACTGACCTGCATGAGCACGCGCTGTCCGACCTGGGCCGGTGTGGTGGGCGGCGGGAACTGGCCCTGCTCCCACGGCTGATAGTCCACCGTCTCCACCACCACAAAGTCGTGCCAGTCGATCTGCGCGTACGAGATGCGCTCGCGCTCGACGGCCTCCTCCTCTCGTCGTTTGCGCGCCTCCTGCACCCGGTCCCACTCGACTCGGTAGCGCACCTGGTCCAGCACCTTGGCCGGTGAGTCGGCCTCGGCGTCCAGCTTGGCCATCAGGTCCTTGGGCGGGATCAGCACCTGAGGGACACGGCGGCGGTCAGATGGACGATCAGGTGGGGTCTCTTCAATCGCAAGCCAAGATTTGTGAAACAAAAATATTATCCGCATGCCATTCCTCCGATGCATCGCGAAATAGATATAACAATAGTATATGTATGTATAGTATATGTATAGTAAATGTATAGTATATGTATATATAGTATATGGAGTATTATGTAGCTCTTCAAAATAAGCTCAACAAATAAAACAGCAAGCAGCACTTCAAAACAAGAACAAAGGTAGTATGATCGAGCTAAAAATGTCGTTTGACTAGTGTTTACTAAGCAGTACATGATTGCGCAGATCGATGTGCAGCGACTCGCTGAGTAATCTCCTGGAGGATTTCCAATTGTTTCTCGTCGTAAAGCCCCCATCCCGGAAGCACATAAAACACTGGTAATGGGATCCATGCAATCGACTACTATATATAGAATGCGGTTCTATGATAATCACTGACCAAGCCAGCCTCATGGCGACAAGTGTATTGGAGGAGCGACATCAAAGACAGAGTGCCAATCGTTGAAAGAGAGAGAGAGAGAGAGAGAGAGAGAGAGAGAGAGTAAGAGAGAGAGAGATAGAGAGAGAGAGAGAGAGAGAGAGTAAGAGAGAGAGAGAGAGAGAGTAAGAGAGAGAGAGAGTAAGAGAGAGAGAGAGAGAGTAGGAGAGAGAGAGAGAGAGAGAGTAAGAGAGAGAGAGAGAGTAAGAGAGAGAGAGAGTAAGAGAGAGAGAGAGAGAGAGAAAGAGAGAGTAAGAGAGAGAGAGTAAGAGAGAGAGAGAGTAAGAGAGAGAGAGTAAGAGAGAGAGAGAGTAAGAGAGAGAGAGAGTAAGAGAGAGAGTAAGAGAGAGAGAGAGAGTAAGAGAGAGAGAGAGAGTAAGAGAGAGAGAGAGAGAGTAAGAGAGAGAGAGAGAGTAAGAGAGAGAGAGTAAGAGAGAGAGAGAGTAAGAGAGAGACAGAGTGAGTAAGAGAGAGAGAGAGTAAGAGAGAGACAGAGTGAGTAAGAGAGAGAGAGTAAGAGAGAGAGAGAGAGAGAGAGTAAGAGAGAGAGAGAGAGAGAGAGTAAGAGAGAGAGAGAGTAAGAGAGAGAGAGAGTAAGAGAGAGAGAGTAAGAGAGAGAGAGTAAGAGAGAGAGAGGGTAAGCGAGAGAGAGAGAGAGAGAGAGAGAGAGAGAGAGAGAGAGAGAGAGAGAGAGAGAGAGAGAGAGAGAGAGAGAGAGAGAGAGAGAGAGAGAGAGAGAGAGAGAGAGAGAGAGAGAGAGAGAGGAGGGGTCAGGGGAGGTATTGTTGGATGGCCCAGAGCCTGCTCGACGCGGGTGGCACGGATAGCTGACAGTCTTGGATGTAGCAGCTGTTGGGATTATTCCAAGTCATTGATCAAAAATGCCCCAGAGAAGATAATCCGTATATGCAGCCTTGACACAAAACATTGCGCAATCGGTGAGTCTACAGACTGACGTTTCCCCCGCCATACAATGCACGATCTCGTCACGAGGCAGAGCGTTTAAAATGAATTTGCTGACAGTCAAGTGCTGCTATCAACCGAATCGAATCGTTTTAGCTCCCGAGCATGAAAAATATCCTTGAAATAACGGCACGATACTGGAACCTAATAAGTTAAAGAGGATTTACTGGGGTAATTCACAGGTTTCAGCATTTTTCGGAAGATGACGGAGATGGTCTATCCAATTAAAGTCACCTTCCCTCTCATTACAATCGTCCGATAATACAAACCGCGTGTCATTGCGGTTACCAACAGCAGCCCGTTCTTCTGCGAATTAGCAGCATAAGCCACCTACTGCCGAGGTAACTAACCGACCGTGTCGCGCGCCCCTTTCCCTTCCCCATCCCCGGGACGAACAAACCGACATGTTACTCCTCTGGGATTGCGAGACGTGCGAATAATGAGTTGGAGATGTAATCTGATCTTGACAATGGCTACATCGGCAAAAACCGTGAGCGAATCGACGACGCAGCGGGGGAGCAATGGTGATCAAGCCTCGAGTCGCATTTTAAGTACGGCTCTCGCGAGATTAAGCGGTAGGTTTTGCACTTTTACATTTCCGGTTATCTCTCAGAAACTAATCGATCTACGATGAAGCCATTTTACATGATCATGGCCGGCTTGTGAACCAACAAGTCGATCGCATCTTCAACATTTAAAAGCTTAAAACGACGAAGATATAGTCTGAAGTGCACTAAATTTTCTAGGTGCAAAACCTACCGCTAAAACCCGCGAGACCTGTACCTAGTTCTAGGACGCGGATCACTCTCAGTGTATGCGAGTAAGATAACAAAGCAGATAGTCAGAAAGTTAGCAGTTGCGAAACTATAACCTGCCTCTCTTTGGGATATTTTGAAAGCAGTGATGGAAAATAAAATCATTCGTAAGCTAGTGATGAAAATATCAGTTATGCGCAGTCGGTTTCCCTGTACTTATTAGATCAAAGCCAGATGGCTGGTATTGAGGAATAAATAACAAGGGAGAAAAGATAACATAAATGTGATTAAAAACTTAAAACTCATGCTAAAAATATTATTAGTCTAATTCTTTTGGCCATTTTGTAAATATACTTTAGCATGAGGCTTAAGTTTTAAATCACATTTATATTTTCAATCATGAGCCTCAAAGCAGCGCTATCTTTCATCATTCAACATAAGAGTAACGATAAGATAAGAAAAGAGGAGCAATTTGGATACAAATAATCACACAGAATCGAATTCGATTTTTTTTCTATTTTCGAGGCCCATTAGCAGCACCAATTCCAAACAACCTAAAAATAGCGGAAAATAGAAATAGTATAGAAATATATAATTGTATATTGTTCATTTTGACAAATGTTTACTTTAATGAAAAACAATATCAAATTCTTATCTGTATTCAATGTAAACGCGTTTCGATTATTTCTTTATCAATACATTGATACAATACAGATAATGAAAACATTGAATCGTGTGTTTTCATTATCTGTATTGTATCAATGTATTGATAAAGAAATAATCGAAACGCGTTTACATTGAATACAGATAAGAATTTGATATTGTTTTTCATTAAAGTAAACAAGTATAGAAATATCGTACTTAAAGAAGCACAGCATCTCCAACATGAAAAGCGGCTCCAACTCGAAAGAGATAAACATTCTACAAGCAGCTACTCCGATAAGCTGGCCATTAATTTACCAACAAGTATTAAACGTCCATGATTTTCGCGTTCCAGTTTGCATTATGCATGAACGGACCGTGGAGTGCAGCAGCATCCCAAGGACGGGGACTGGGAACGAGCCCGCGGCGCGCGGCTTAATCCCAGCACTCGACCAGTCGGTCAGCTACCGTTCGTCCCCGCCTAATCCTGTCTGTGTGTCTCGGCGGTCAGCGCGGCGGGCCATCGCTCAGTCGGAGTCACACTGCCGGACAGGCAGCACGTCCAGCGTTCAGTGCTATCGGTCCTGGGATAGCTACACCGTTCAGTGCCGGCGATATAGGGACACTGGAGCACACAAGTCAAAGCCGCAGTCCTGTGGCTCCTCTGGTTCCCAGAGCTCAGTGTTGTGAGACGACTACAGATCAGGCAATTGCAGGAGCCGCCTGACTGTGACAGAAAACATCCAGCATGACCGCCGATGTGCCTCGTATGCTCTGCATGGTCTTGTTCTTCAGTACCGCGTTCGCACCGACAGCGGCGCTGGGCCGGCGCCCTTCGCGCGTCTGCGCCCGCTCCCAATACGCCTGCTACTCGGGCGGTCAGTGCGTGGCCAAGGCGGCCGTTTGTGACACGGTGACCGACTGTGCGGACGGTTCAGACGAGATCGGCTGCAGGACGGACGCCAGGGCCGAGCTGGGAATGGGTCAGCTGATCGGACTCCTGGGAGGTGCTGGTACTGAGCGCCGCCGGCCGGCCGGTCCGCCTTGCGAGCCTGGTACTCTTTGTACGGAGGAGACAGAAGAGAAAAAGAACACAGCATCTGCAGTGACTTTCCGAAAGAAATTCAGCACCAAATCCTCTTGCACAGGCCAGCAGTTCGCCTGTGTCGCCGGCGGCTGTATCGACATCGACTACCGCTGTGACGGTGACGCCGACTGTCGTGACGCCAGCGACGAGGTCGGCTGTGAGCGCGTCACCTGCGCCGAGGGTCTGTTCAAGTGCACAGACAGCGGCGTCTGCCTGCAGCCCTGGCGGCAGTGTGACGGCACGGCCGACTGTGGCGACGCGAGCGACGAGGCTGGCTGCGAGCGTCGCTGTGCCGCCGGTCAGTTCCACTGCGGCGCCGGCGTCTGTCTGCCGTCCAGCCGCGTCTGTGACGGCGCCGATGACTGCTCCGACGGGAGCGACGAGCGCGGCTGTCCGCTCTGCGGCGTCGGTCAGCTGCGCTGCGACAACGGCGCCTGCGTGCCGACCGACTGGGTCTGCGACGGTAGCGACGACTGCGCTGACGGCACCGACGAGTCAGAAGCCGCCTGCGCTGCTGTGAATGCCACTTGCGCGCCCGGCGAGTGGCGCTGTGGCCGCTCACAGCGCCGCTGCGTGCCGCGGTACTACCTCTGCGACGGCCACCGCGACTGTTACGACGGCGCAGACGAGACGCCGGCGGCGTGCGCGGCTGCGGCGACCGCCCGCCTGCCACCGTTCGACTGTCTGAACGGCACGCAGCCGTCGCGAGTGGACGCTCGATGGGTGTGTGACGGTACGGCGCACTGCCAGGACGGCAGCGACGAGGCACCCGCAGCTTGTCGGGCTGCCCAGGCGCCGTGTTCCGCCAACCAACTGCGTTGCGTCGGCGCCGAAGGCCGCTGCGTATCCGCCGCCGCCATCTGTGACGGCTTTGACGACTGCTCGGACGCCGCCGACGAGACGGTCGCCGCCTGCGAGCGGTTTAACGTCAGCTGCGCGGCCGGTCAGTTCCGCTGCCGCAGCGGCCAGCGCGCCTGCGTCTGGCGACAGTGGGTCTGTGACGGTGACGACGACTGCTCCGACGGCAGCGACGAAACAGCCGCGGCCTGTCGCGCCGTCGGCGTCGAACCCTACTCGAACAAATTCCGCTGCAATCCAGACAGCCGGCATGAGGACGCCATCTACATCTCCAAACGGCAGATCTGCGACCGTCGTAACGACTGTCCCAACGGCAGTGACGAATCGGCCGAGGCATGCGACCGGCCGTGCGGCGCACGACAACTGCGCTGCGACTCTGGTCACCCGCGCTGCGTGGACCGCCTGAAAGCGTGCGATGGCCACAACGACTGTGCTGACGGCAGTGACGAAACATTCGCCGTCTGCTCGATCACCGGCCACCAATGTTTCGCCGGCCAGTTCCGCTGCCGGGGTGCGCCGAAACACTGCCTGCACCGCAGTCAGGTATGTGACGGGGACCGCGACTGCCCTGACGGCAGTGACGAAACTCCGGAGGCCTGCCGCGCCATCAATATCACCTGCGCCGACGACCAGTTCCGGTGCGCACGCTCCTACACACGCTGCGTGTCGCGCTTCCTCATCTGCGACGGTCAGGACGACTGCAAGGACGGCTCGGACGAGACCGAGGCGCTGTGCGGCGCGCGGCCCGCCTGTGCCGCCCACCAGGCCGCCTGCAGTGCCGGACAGCCGGCCTGTGTGTCGCGCACAGCTCTCTGTGACGGCCGTCCCGACTGCGCCGACGGCTCGGACGAACAGGGCTGTCCCGGCGGCCGGAACCAGACCGCCTGTCTGCCGCACCAGTTCCGCTGCGCCGACTCCAGCCGCTGTCTGTCCCCGCTCTGGGTGTGCGACGGCGACGCCGACTGCGGCGACGCCAGCGACGAGGCGCCGTCCGCCTGCGGCCAGAGCGCCGTCACCTGCTACGCCGACCAGTTCCGGTGCGTGTCGCCGCCGGCGGCCTGCGTGTCGTCGCTGCTCGTCTGTGACGGTGAAAACGACTGCGCTGACGGCAGCGACGAGGCGCCGGCCGCCTGCGCCGTCCTCGCCGTCCGCTGCGCTGCCGACGAGTTCCGCTGCGGCTCGGCGCGGCCGCGCTGCGTGCCGCTCGGCGCAGTCTGCGACGGCTTCAACGACTGCTCGGACGCCTCAGACGAAACGGAGCTGGCCTGCAACAAGGCGCCCATCGGCGGCGGTCTGGCCTGAGTGTGTGTCTGGGGCGAGCGTATTGTCCTGGCTTGTTTTTTGCTCCCGATTCCATAGTCTACTTACCATTGAATGTCATTTCCAACTTAGATCTATCTAGTTGTGTGCTATCTGGAATGAGCACGCATGACAGCATGTCTAAAAACGTCTGTTAGCAGTAGCGATATCGCCATTTCACCACCTCTTCCGTTGACAATGACGCAGTTTCGGCGATGTCTGATATTAACCAGTTACCAAGAGTAGATTACCTTTCAGAATAAAGGGCCGCCTCAATTGCTACACAGCCAATACCGCAGAGCCAGAGGTGTGAGCTGTGAGTAGCTTCGGGAAACGTGAGAACGCAGCAAGGTCTTGACAAATAAATGAGCGAAGGAAAACGTGTATGATTGAAAGCAAACATAGAATTTAGGGCCAGAAATATAGAATGTGCGAAGGAGAGCTCCCGAAATACTATGCTGAATATCATAAGCAATCCGGGAAAGCAGTCCATCAGTCATCACTACAAGAGTTTCCATTAATAAATCAAAATCATTACATGAAACATAAAAGCAATAATCTCCTAGCAAAGCTACACAGTCATCTCCTGGCTATCATGCTTAACACCAGCACGCGGCTTTGAAACATCCACCTTCAATCAATGAATAAGCTCCAACCTCTTTGCTGGATGTCCTTCAACGCACGACATGACACCGCCAAGCGTTCATCGGAAGCACCCGATGAGTAACGACCCAACACCAGCAATAAAGTTGCCAGCCGCATTGTTCGCTGCGGGGGTCGTAAGCTGTCCGCAAAGCTATCAGTCGTAAATCCATCGGTCCATCAGCCAGCAGCCGATTCGGAGAGGACGCGAGCTCCGAGTGGTGATTATCATATAAGGTAGCGCTGAATTCAATCCACCGAAAATATGGCAACTCAATGCTACTTGAGAGGAAGATCACTTACGTATGATGTTATAGAAACCATAAGATAAGAAGATGACAGGCTGATTAATTGATCCTGACGATAATTTGACACCCATAGGCTGAAGTCACTAAAAAGCGGCTAATGACGATGACAACCGTTGCCATCTTTTCGAGGATTTAAAATTTACTGCTGGATAAGTGGGCGGTCGTGATCCAGGGCTTCCCCGAGTCGAACATGCAGTAAAAATAGTTGTATGCTACGTAGGACAGAAAACGGAGGATGGAGCAAAGGCTTAAGATTTACAATGATTATTAATCGCTACCCAAGGCAAGGCCGGCTAATCTACGTCCTGCCATGCGGTAAAACCGCGGTATTAAGTGAAAAGCCCTCCTTCAATGTAGCAATGAGTCACCTATATAATTATCCTTTTATTCCAGACGGATCCTGAAAGCCTGCCGCCGCCGGCCTCTGACCAACCTTTCTGTACTGTTCCAGCAATAAAAGTGAAGTACTGTGATAACGAGTGACCCACACTCTTGTGTACTGCTCCCGCACCTTGGTGAAGCACTGGTTACAGCCGCGCCGGACCCACCTTTGTGTACTGTTCCAGCAGCTTGGTGAAGTACTGGTTACAGCGCCGGACCCAGTACCCACCTTTGTGTACTGTTCCAGCAGCTTGGTGAAGTACTGGATACAGCGCCGGACCCACCTTTGTGTACTGTTCCAGCAGCTTGGTGAAGTACTGGAACAGGCTGTGCTGCGGCCGCAGGAAGTCGAACTGGTAGTTACGCTGCTCCCGGTTCATCAGGTTGGTGAGAAACTGGCGACCGTTCCGCGCAACGAACTGGGCAGTCAGCTTCACAATGTCGCTGCAAAACAAATGCCAATTAGTATACATCGAGAGTGATACCTTCATTGTAAACAGGACTAAGGTTGGACGAGAAGGCCGTGCAGGTGCCCACTGCACACTCTACATGCCGCACTCCGGCCTAATGATGCGTCAGCTGGGTCGGTCAGCTATTACTAGCCACTATATCCCACTCACAGGCCACAGTCTTACAGGGCTAAGGTGATGGAAGACCAGAAGAAGACCAAGACCAGAAGAAAATGGTATAAGGTTCGTTTGGGTCAGCTCAATATGTAATGTATACCTCGCTTGCAGATCCACTGAGCAGAAAGATGACAGGTCAGGTCAGGTCAGCTCCGTTCGGGTCACGCCGCACTCACAGGTCGACTGATAAGATGGGCAGCGGGTCGGGTCGGGTAGGGTCGACTCAGGTCAGGTCAAATCACGCCCCACTCACAGGTCGACTGATGAGATGGACGGCGGGTCGGCGGTGAACTCGTAGGCCGGCGGCGGCTCAGTGACCACCAGCTGTTTCTCGGCGGCCGGCCGGAACATCTCCTGACCGGCCCGCACCTGGGTGCCGGCGGCCGCCGCGCCGCTGGAGGCCGCCCCGCCTCCGGGAGCCGTCTGCGGCGTCAGCTGCAGCGGAACCAGCGGCTTCAGCGAGCCTGACACCGGCTCTGGAGGGACACGGAGACGTTACCGGGGATGGTGGAGGGACAGGCGGGGTACCAGAGCTGTCCTCAGGGGGCACAATGTGAAAGGTATAAATGACAAGTTGATCAACAGCCAGCAGAAGCAGAAACAGAGAAAAAAATTGTTGCATCATCATTTCTTGAACCGGACATACCGGAAGATATTGTCGACAACAGCATCAGCTACAATGTACCGTATGCCTGCTAGTTTAGCTAAGCCACCAGTCATCTTCAAACGTAACACGCCACAGAACAAAAGGACCATTAAAACACCCCATCACCGCCCCTCACTGACCTGCCTTGCCCTCCCGAATCTCCTCGACACGGTGCTGATAGTAGGCATGGTACGGGTCGCCGCCGTTCAGAAAGTTGAACTTGGGATTGTTCAGTTCGTTCTGACGAATTCGCGATTCGAATTCCGGGCCGTTTCGGGCCACAAAACTGGCCGTCTTGTCGACGATGTCTATTTGTCTTGGCTAAGGAAAGTATCGCCATACTGGTATTGCTTGCACCGCAGCACCCCATGACAAGACACACATAATGACGGTGTTATATTCTCCAGACTAGCCAAACGAACAAAAAGTGTGCAAAATATATAGGTAAATATGATCAGATATACAATATGTAAATGAAGGTACCTACTTAAACCTTTCATAATCTGATATCTAACACATTGAAGTCTTGCAACTGCAGCAATGTAGTCTTTTCAGGAACTATAAATTATTGTTTCATATAGATAGCTGAAATGCACATGAATCTAGTTGTGTGTGCCAATAAGACTTTATGATGACTTACTGCTGTCAAAAACAGTGGACTTAGGTGATACGTACCTTTGAGCCATTCCATTTTCAGGAGGAAGATGGTTACCTTGGAATACAGAATGGTAATATTTAGCTAAATTCATATTTCACCATGTTGCCCTATTTCATAAAACTTTCATAACATGAATATTACAAGCAGGATGTGCCAAAAGGCAAAAGCAATTAACCAATTATAGAACATGTTCAACACAAAATTTAGACTTACAAACGTTTAGCTTGACCTACCAAAATGTACCTACCTATGGTTCATACATAGGTATCCCAAGAAACAAAACAACAATAAAATTGTAAAGTTAATTGAGCGAATTGAATATTCACACTAAATTATTTTTCACATAGGTACCAGCAAGAATAAGTTCAATGGTCTCATGCTCAAGCTCGATGCTTCCGCCTCATAACCAGCCACTTTCCACCAGTACCTGCGCCTCAGCTCGAGGCGGCAGTCCACCGTCGAAAAAGGATACTTCTAACTTCTGGCGGCGGCAGGATGATGCCGACCACATGTTTGGGCTTGTGCACCTCCTGTGTGGAGGTGTCGGGCGCGTCGGTATCGGCCGCCGAGCCGTCCATCAGCGCCGGCAGCTCCTTGACCACCCGCTCGCCCGACTCCGGGTCCGCCACGGCCGGCGGCATGGCTGGCTGAGGGAGGGGCGCAGAATCACTGTCAGACAGACTGTCGAGTATCGACTGTGGCGGCTGGCTGAACTGGGGCTTCAAAACAACAGCAGTTGTCATGGTAGCAGATAGGCAGTGGTTACCAGAGTACATCTTACTCAGTGAAAGGTCGATGTTTATCAGACAGTTAACATGAATGAATTACACTGAATTGGCGATGTATCTGACTTTGCAAGGGATTAGCAGCTCTCTCAACACTGCATGTCAGACTAATGCAAGGACACAACACAGCTTTGCTGAATGTAAATGTTGACTTAGAAAGTTGGATAGGTAGACTCATAGAGTGTAGTATCACTTGCTGCTTCTGGATGAGAAGTGGGTACACGGAACTGTGTAGTGTAGTGCATGTATTAAGCTACACAATATTTACCTTGGAAATTATTGAAAACAGGTAATAGGTTGCCGGTCCTAGCTGGGGCCTTTGCTTGTAATGGAACAAGGGGCTGAAGGCAAGGCACAGTGGCAAGTGGTGACCTGGAGCTCAAGCCTTGGCTTCATCCATGAATGGCCATCCTGTATATCATTGGATGACTGACTAGAGTCCAACTGACTTTGAATTGGGCGTATGGGTGCCAGCAGTCAGTGCAGTTTGTCATGTTCCCAGATGGATGTGGTTAACCCACATCACACTTGGCTATTTAGCTAAATGTGCCCTGCAGCTGAGGGAGGGGCCAGGGGGGGGGGCACAGATTCTGCCCCCTAAGTTCCAAACAGATGGTCATTGAAAGACAAGAAAAATGACAATCGAAAGCAGTGCTCTTATCCAGACAGATCTTTCGAGCACAAAATTTCTTGCCCAGGCAGGTCATAACTCACAAGTTGGGTCAAGGTCAGGTCAATAGTTCTACATTCTACACCAACAACCAAGTTTCTAGATTACTTGCTAATATGGCTTGGGAGCCCAGCTGGCAAATAATGGAATGAGATCGATCACCCAAAATGCATCCTTAGGCTATCAAGACAAGATCATGATGCATTCCGTAAAATGATGGCCGTTCCGGAGAGTTGGCCGCTGGGCATGCAGCCGTAACCCTAACTGATTTACCAAAAAAATTAACAATACAATTTTTAAAACGTATAGCTCACAGAATCTAATAATTTAAACCTTCAAGAATTTGAATTAATATAATTAAAAAGTGCTGCAATTTCAGTTATGGTCTCAAAATATGTGCCCTCTATTTACCTGCCCCGAAACATCCACATGTCAAACCAAATTCTGAATTGTCCACCCATAACAACATGTCATGAAAAGGTTGAGGTCAGGTCAAGGTCAGCTCCTGCAAGGTCAAAATTAAAAATTGGTTTATGAGACCAAAAAGGCATCTAATTTACTGAACAAGGTCGAGAGGCTAGAACGTAAAAAATAATGATTCCACAAATCTGTAATCCTTTTTTTAGTGGCCCTAACTTACGTTACCGGCCTCGCGAGGAGGGCGGCGACCAAACTACGCTGTGCAAAAGAAACCGGCCATCCTAACTAAGACTGGTGGCCACTTTTACAGCAAGAAAACATGGGAAAACCCATGTCCATGTACTATGCCACGAATATGGGGAAAACCCATGAATTTACGTAAAGACACATAAATGAGTGAAACTTACCATTAAATTAATGTTTGTGAAGGGAAGAAAGGAGGAAGTTTGTGAATGGTAAGGTTACGATGAGAGTTGGATGACAGGAATCAGAATGGTTTGAAGAGTGGGAGATAGGTCGCTGGGAGGTTCCGTATATACTTATGTACACACATAACATGTATAGCTTACCGATTTTCTCGTGCTATCAATATATATATGCTATCAAAAACAATAAATAGTTCCAAACCACTCCCATCCAATCTTCACACCGGCTGCGCACAGCACACACGCACACGCACAGAATATGGAAACGTTCATTGACGCGAGATGCAGATCTGGCGCATCTGTGACATTCCTTGTAAAGAAATCGACTACCAAATTGAATTTTCTCGGAAACGTGTTGGATGATTTATAAACGTAAGCTGCTAGGTAGAAGTTATCTGTTTCGCTGTCACGTGCCTCTCTACAAAACTTTTGCACTAAAATCTGCAGAAAATTTGACCATATCCTACTTATAAGTTGCACAAAGTAATGGCCTTGAGTAGTGGTTAAAACAAACCTTGGTTAAAACTACCACACCCGCAGAGCCCGTCAGCCGTGACCCGTGAAGTCGGCTCAATCTAACTCAATTTGCACATTACTGGCTTTGACAACCTCTCTTTCATTTTTTGTAACTTTCCTTGTCATTCAGGATATTGAGCAGGTAGCTAAATGCCACTCTCAGTGGTCCAATGTTGCCAATAATACTTGGGGTAGCAATTGTCGGCGTGGTGACCCAAGTAGTTCATCTTCTTCGACGAAGAAGACTGGCAGGCGTTCTGAGAGGACGCGAAGCTGCAAGAACACTACTATGCGACTCCCAGGCCTGTTGACATTTTTAGCCGTTTGCACTGTTCAATGCGAGCCAGCTACCGAAGAACCTGCTAGCGGTAGCAGTAGCGACCGTCACTGGAATAAGACCCACACCGCCCCAGCCATTCACGCCCAATTCGCCCTCATCTCGCTGCTGGAAGTGAGCGAGTCGCGCAGCGAGATCGTCTTCTCCTGTTTCCTAAAGGCATCCTGGATTGCCGACCAGGCGCACAGCGGCCAGGAGGACCCGTTTAAGCCACGTCTCATTCCGGCCGGCGCGCGGCGCGTGGACAACGCCGGCTTCCTGACGCCGGTGGTGTCGGTTCACCGGATCGGCGAGCGGTTCCACCAGGTGGCGATGGTGACGGTGACACAGCCGTGCGGCTTCGACTACGGCCTGTTTCCGTTCGACACGCAGACGTGTCTCATCCGGATCTCCCCGGCGCGCGCAGACGCCACGCTGGCGCGCTCCGAGAACGCCTCTGACGTGCAGGTGGAGCCCGGCTACAACTCGTTCCAGCACGAGTTCACAGCGCGCGTGCAGAGGGCCGAGGATTGGTCGCCGGTGGGCGCGGCCGCCGGCGCCGGCCAGCCGCACGAGGCGCTGGCCGTGCGTGTGCGGCTGCGTCGCCGGCTGTGGCCGCAGCTGGTGCGTCTGTTCGCGCCCAGCGGTCTGCTGGTGATGGCCAGCTGGCTGGCGGCGCTGATCCCGGCCTCGCTGATCCGCAGCCGACTGCCCATCACCATCCTGAGTCTGCTGACCCTGCTGCTGGCGTGCGACACGGCGCGGCAGAGCGAGCCGGCCAGCAGCGGGCCCGGCACCGCCGGCCACGTCTGGGAGACCGGCTGTCTGCTCTTCTCGCTGGTCAGCGTGCTGGAGGCCGTGCTGGACATGCACCTGCTGGTGCGCGCTGTGACGCGCGGCGACCCCGCTGCCGAGAGGACCGAAAGGCGCGGCGCGCGCATCTACTTCTGGACGTACGCGCTGTGCTGGACCGTCTTCTGCCTGGCCTACTGGCGCGCTTATGTGCCCAACTGGAGACGCAGCCTGGACGATGACGAGTTTAAGTGACGAGCCGTACGGACTGTAACGAAATCCGTAAAAAGAGACCTTGTCAAAGTCAATTACGTTGATATCATCATGTTGATCGTTACCTATTTGTTAGCGATCTCGCAAGTGTTAGAAGCCGGGAGTGTTGCCGTAATTATTGTTCCCCTTATCGGTGAGACACTGTCGAATGATTCATTATTCTATTGAAAACCACATATATACAAACGTTGCTGCACTATGGTGAGACACGGCAATAGTAATTCAGCGCGATGGCATGGTAAAAAAATACCACAGACAGGTGTATGACTGCCTCCGACAGGCTCGTCGATGAGAGACCGGCGGGAGCCAAGGGGCGCCGCCGGCCGCCGATCCGACTTGGTCGCGATCTCATCTACAAAAGGTGCGCGCACAAGGCCTGGCACGGCTCAGAAAATAAGACTGAGATCACAGACACCGGTAAAGTAACGGCACAGAAACATTGCTCTCATCAGGTGGACATCATCAGCTATCACCGACAAAACAAAACAATAAAACAAAATCGTCAAATGAGCATGCAATATAACAACTAGCATGGCGGAAATTCACCGTCAACAATCGTATAAATAGCATCTAAAATGAAGGCGATCACAGGCCGAGCCACCGCAGGCACAACAGTGGAGGAAGCGGGCAGTGGCGGCGGCCGGTGTTACCGCACAGGGTCGCGGTCACGCGGCGGGTACAGCGTCCCGGGCGGCGGAGGGCCGGCGGCGCCGGGCAGGTCGGCGCGCCGCAGCGGGCCCGGCGGCCGCGCCACCGCGCCCGGGCCGCCGAACGGCGACGCTCCGAAGCCCGGCTTTCCGAAGCCGCCGACCAGCTGGAGTCCACCGGGTGGCGGCGCCGACATGGGCGGCGGGGGCGGCGCCGGCGGCCGCGGGTAGCCGGCCACCGGCGCGCCGTACATGCCCGCCAGCTGCAGCTTGTGGTCGAGCAGCTGCCGGTCGCGCTCGAGCGCCAGCCGCTCTAGCTGCTGGTGGCGCGCCAGCTCGGCGGCCGGCGGCTCGCGGTAGAGCAGCGGCGCCAGCCCGTTCAGCTGCATCAGCTGCCGGTCCCGCTCCAGACTGCGCAGCGGGTCGCTGCCGGCCGACAGCGCCGCGTACGGGTCGAGCCGCGGCCCGGCCGCCGGATCCAGTCCGTACGGCAGCAGCGGGCGGGGCGCGGCCGCCGCCGCCGCCGCGCCGTACAGCTGCGACAGCGGGTCGGGCCGCGGCGCGTGTCCATTCAGCTGGTGTCGGCCGGGCGCCTTCAGCTCCAGGCCGGCCGGCCGGTCCCGCTCGTCCGTCTCCCGGCGGCCGGCCGGCGACTGGGACGGCTCGGCCGGCTTGCCGCGCACCGGCGAGCGCGAGTGGTGTCGGCGCGGCGGCGTGGCGGCGGAGGCGCGCCGCTCGGCCGCGCGCCGCTCCCGGTCCCGCTCGGCGGACGGACTGTAGGCGCTGCTGCTGCCGCCGCCGAACGCCGGCGGCCCCAGCTCCGGCTTCAGCGAGCCGACAGAGATCACCGGCGCAGGGGGCCGACTGAACCTGCGGACAACGGACGGCGGTCAGCGGGCGGCGGTGGCGTCACCGGACACAGGGCACACTACCAGCCTAGATGGGTTTGTCTACCTCCCTGAATATCATAGGATCGGCTATTTATCAGCCGTAGCCGTGACTCCGAAGCCGACCATCGGCCCTATGACAGCCGGCACATGACTAAGCGTCAAGGAATTGGAGGCACGTCGTGCCACTATCCACTACCAGCTGTAGGGGAGGGCGGTGGCCGCATAGAGCACAGCTGCTCTCGTAGCGGAGCATCCGCCGTCCTACAAAAGCATTTCCGCTAAATGGTTCATTACCGAAAACCTGCCAACCGAGCGCCGATTGTCGCCATCGTTCCGTGCCGTGGATCACACAGCGAGATCTCTACCATCTACAGCAACATGTCACCCCGCGTATTGTTCACCGTACACAAACCGTATGCAACGTGCAGATATGCGGCCTATCCGCTCACGGTGATAACCATGTGAGGGGAATTGTGTAATATAAAACATTGAGCGAATAGTTCACAAATTGTTGGTCGGTGCCCGGGGTTTTAAATGTGAGGTGAATAGTTGCGGGTAAAATAGAGTTCATGAAATGATTTCCGAGAATGGTCGAGACTGGCACAATAACCTTAATAAACAGTGGAACAATGTTGCAGAAGTATGAACTACAAACGAAACTAATTTATAACCACCTAGTATTTTCCCTTCTACTAAGGTACTTATGGTTAAGAATTTTCAAACCACCGGGAAACAGATAAGAGTTAAAAGAAAAATCCATATAGCGAAAAGGGACTCAATAAAAAACTAATTAGCTTCTGAAAAACTTTTGGGATTCCAAAAGATAAAGTAAAATAGGTATGATAGCGCTAAGGTTGCCAAAGGTATCATGATGAAAGTGAACACTAATCGCAATCGATCCCCAAATCGTCAGACAATTTAAACACGACCGCCGGGTGCGTATTAATGTTGAACTGCTGACATTTGAGAAATGTGCGCGACTCGGTATAATGGCCAGTCATCTGCCGGCATTTAACTCTGAACGACACGTCAAAGTGCTACTGGCACCGCTGTCAGACTAAAGTGCGTCAAAGACATACCGGATGTCGCGGTCCGATCATAGGCGCCCCACTCCACCAACCCCTCGCGACTGCAAGGATCCGTCACTGCGCGGACGTGCGTACCTGGCCCACGGGTCCAGCGCGCTGAGGCCGGGGTCGGCGACGCTCCTCAGCGGAGAGGGACCGGGCCCGGCCAGGCCGCGGTAGGCCGAAAACTCCGGCAGGGAGGCCTGCAGCGGCTCCGTGGCGCTGGAGCCAACCGGAGCCCCGCGCGGCGGCGGCTGCAGGCTGGGCCGAGCTGCACGAACAGAGGAGGGGACCGGTTAGCATTTAGTACGGACTATTTCTAACAAAGTGTAAAACAAAGCAAAGCACAAAACTCTTCCACAATGCACACAAAACAGAAGAGAAAGCACTGTGTTTATCAAATTACTAAAAATAAACCATTTGTCTACCATCCAACCTATACTTAGCCGCAAAACCCCTCCAATCTCAACACCCATCGCGACCCCCTCCCTCCCCCACCACCACCGCCCTCCAGTCCTCACCTAGCGCCAGGTGCCGCGACGAGGCAGGCTGCGAGTGCAGCTGGTGGGCGCCGAGCACATCCAGCGGGCCGGCACCCGCTGCGCGAGACGGCTGCGGCGCGGACGCCATGAGCAGCGGAGGACCGGCCGACGCGCCGCGCGCCGGGTCCAGGCCGCCGCCGCTGCCCGACGCCGCCTTCCGCTTGTTTTTGTAGATCTCCCAGGCAATACGCACGTGCATAGCGTTCCAGCGACCCGTTTTCTGCAGCAGAAGACGAGAGAGACGGATGTTAGGATAGGACCATACAATAACAGCCTTGGTAGTCAGGTCCATTATGAGCGCTTCATCATCGGGGACCGTTAAGTTTCTTCCCGTTGGGCGTTGAGGGATGATCAATTATGAGGGGGAGGGGCACGAAAGTGATGCCACCGGCCTATCAACCCCTCCACTCCACTAATCAAGTGCCGTTGTCCCAGGGGAAGAAAAGGTTGAACATTGATCTAGCGGTTCTACATCCATTAAAAATCAATTGTCCTATCATCACAAAGCGGTGCTACTCTGATTCAGCGAGTCGGCCAGCCGTGTCGTGATACGACTTTGACGCGGCTGTGACATTCACCAGCGCGAACGGTGACACACGACGGTCGGATTCGAGTGGTCAAATGTCGCGCGCAGAGGGGGTAGGTGATGTCGTCAGCCGGAGCGCAGAGGACGAGGGACCGACGGAGGGAGAAAGGCTGACGGGTCAGCCGCGCCGTCCGGGTCAGGATGTGGTCGTGACGTCATAATACAGGTCAGCATGGGACAGTTGTCATGTGACGGACGAGGAACATCGTCTGCCTCTGGTGACACAGCCAGTGCCGGCACCAGGTCACCGATTGACATAAATGCCAATGACGCACGTCGGATTATTGGAAATTCAAATGCAAACGGATTGCTAGAAAATAGCAGTAGAACTAGAGACGAGTGTCACTGAAAAGTTCAAAAACTTTTCAGTTGTGCAGGACATGAGTGAATAAAAATCCAAAGGGCTTGTGCTTTTCAACAGTGGTTCCCTCTTCCATCTCAGATATGAAAAAACAGCATAGGGCAAAAGCTTAAAGCTCAAGGCAACAAAAAATTTACCCTACGCAAACAGAAAATATTGACCAACGTAATTAGTTACGATCGCACGTCATTTACGACAGTGAATAACTGGCGCTTTTAAGGCTGCAACAAAAAAAAATCACCACAGTAACAGAAAATATTCCCGATGGGCTCAGTAATCGAGCGACTGAATATTCTAACTGAGCTTCTCAGGTAAACATGCTACTCCTTCCAGGCGGTGGGGCGACATTTTTGCCCCCCCCCCCTTTTTAGTTTTTTTTTTCGATATATCTCCAGAACCGCTGCGCCCATCATCACCAAACTTTCAGGACCCTCCCGTGAATAGCTTTTACACATTGTGACCAAAACTTTTCCAAAGGCTATGATAGGTTGGCTGCTAATATCGTCGGAGTGACGTCATTTCTGCCATTTTTGACCCACAAAAGGTTTCGCGGGAAGAGCTGTCAGGCCTACAGCTTTAGAAATACATAAAAAAATGTTTCAGACATAAAAGGTGTATAATAAACAGGGCTAACAAAACTGCTATCTCGGATTTTTTTTTTTGACCCCTAAAAATATTAGCCGAAAAATCCCATAAAGTTTTTTGAATTTCGAAAAAAAAACGGAATATATGTGATAGTTCCTACCGCCTTCTATCCACATACCAAATTTGAGATCGATACCTCTTTTTTAGCCACGTTATAGCGGAAAAACTGTTCAACATTGATGACGTCAAATTTTCGAGCTCAATTTTTAGCGATTCTAGACCACTTAGCGCAAAACAAAGACCCCCATTAAACTCCCGTGACGAGCTGCATCGAACCAATACCTATCTTATGCAAAACTATCACCTTTGAAATTTGACCTGTTTTTACCTGACCTTGACCTGACCACTAGATAATGACCTAAACCGTACCTGATGGTCGTATAACCAGCACCACTGGGTTGGAAATGAAAAATTGGCCATAAAACATGCATCGCACAACCTTAGTAAAGTTGGGTTCATGTGCTGACCTTTGGTGACCTGACCTGTGACCTGACCTGGTATTAGCAGTGACCTCTAATAGCAACATATGTACTAGGCACTAGCCAACTGACGCCCTATCGCTGGTTTTCGACAAAATGCGTTTTACTCGATGTTATAGCGCATTCCCCAGAAGACCCGTAAACGGTGAAACATTTTTATCTTTGACCTGACCTGTGACGTCATCGATGACCCCGAGGTCAATGAAATTTAGTTTCCCTCGACAAATTTGACAGGGCTATCGAACAACGTTTAAATTTTACGGATCCGTCCAGTAGTTTCGGAGATACGGGGGGGGGGGCAAAAATGCCCCCTACACCGCGCGGAAGGTGGCCGGGAGGCCCACCGCCTGCCGGGTTAACCCATCATAATAAACCATCACCCTTACGAAATATCAGTACCTCTTAGCACCAGCCATCAGCCACATCATCGGTCACCCATCAATTATATAACCCGTGACAGCGGTGTCTATCAGCTGTCAGTGGAGCAGCGACCTGCCCGCGCTCTGAAGGTTGCCCTGGCCACGGTTCGCCGCCGTCGGCCGGGGGTCACCGAAAGGTCACCGGCTCCGGTCACCGGCCTGTCGCTGTCACCGCTGAATTACACTGACACGACGGCCGGCGGGTGTATGACAGGCGGCCGCCCCCGCCCCCGCCACCGGTGGGCGGCCGGTAAAGGTCCACAGGTGGGCGGCGGACGGAGTGAACCGGGGTACGACGGACCCCGGGTCTGTGTCAGCGCCATGGCAGACCATGACTGATGGACGGGTGGCCACGACGAGTCAGCGTTTGATTTGTGCAAAAATACCATGCCAGGGAAAACAGATTATTTATAGACTAGTAGCAAGATGATGCGATGCATTCGCATAATTGCGCTGGCATGTGTAGGGTATGAATCAGCTGTCAGTACATCAAAAGTGATCAATTATCGGAACAGCGGCAGATGATGACGGAAAGAGGCACGATGTCCTCTGTATCCGTGTTCCCGTAAATTAGGTACGCTCTGTACCTCCTGAATTTCAATCATTTCTCTAGGTAAGATGCTCTCCCTTAACCAAAACAGTCATCAGACCGGGGCACACGACAGCGGCCCGCGGCGGCGGCGGCTCACCTTCGGCCCGGCCGGCTGGAGTCCCACGCCGGGCAGCAGCGAGCCCGCGCTGACCGAGGCCGCCACCGACGCCGGGGTTAGACCCGAGGCGAGGCCCGGCGTCAGTCCGGGGTTCAGTCCCGCCGTCAGGCCGTGCGCCAGGCCGGGCGCCAGGCTCGGGTTCAGACCGGGCGGCAGGAGTCCGGGCGCCAGGCCCGGAGTCAGGCCCGGAGTGAGACTCGGAGTCAGGCTGGGCGCCAGACCGGGCGTCAGGCTGGGCGGCAGGCCCGGAGTCAGACTCGGAGTCAGGCCGGGAGCCGCCGAGCGCGGAGTCAGCGGAGTCAGTCCCGGTGGCAGGCCGTTCCGGAACAGAGGCGAGTGCGCGCCGCCCATTTTGGGCGTCGCCTTCACCTGCGAATGAGCGAAAAGCAGCCGGTCAGAAAGCAAAACAATATGCGGAAACGTCCGCGTTCGTTACAGCAGTACTCACATCGAGTTACTAAGTGTAGGCAAACCATTCGTCAAACATTGTTTGTGCATCAGTTCAATGACCACGGGCTAGCTACTTACAATACAAATACTGAGACAATGTCCATTCAAACAGTTACTGCACATTGTTATGTCGTCGAACAACGACTTACCATAGGTCTAAACGGCCTTTGCAGCACGGGGTTGCCTACAGAGGCAAAGCTGAATCATAATTTACCAACAAGCAAAAGGTTATTCATCGGCTGAATCTAAATGTAAAGTGATGATTCGAAATTTGCCCACAGTCGAACAAATTCGTGCTCCCTCAGTCTCGCTCGGCACGGCAGCGCACTCACCAGTGGTGGCACGGGCGCCGTGACACGCATGTCGGACGCACTGCTGGTGCCCGGCTGGTGATGCTGGTGCTGGTGCAGCTCCGGCGGACCGACGGCCAGGCCGCCGCGCTCCTGCGACGCTAGGAAGCGGCTGTTGAGCTCTCGCCGCAGCAGCTCGGCACTGTCTGTGGACGGGCGGCCGGGGCGCGGTCAGACTCGGGCGGACCGGGCGGCCGGCGCGCGGTCAGACTCGGCGACTGAGCCGCGGACTGCAGCCGGCGGCTGTCACAGCGACACTGACGGCCGAGCGGGGCGGCACCGGCACCGCCGGCCGCCGCAGGTGGGGGACGCTATCACTGCGTCATCGGCACCAGGCCGGCACTGACACCACACCGCCGGCAGCGACCACCCCGCACTGACACCATCGAGCCGGCAGCGGCCGCCCCCAGCATCGGGCAACGGCCTAACGCACCGGACACAGGCATACATACCTAAACTATATAGGCTGCAATATCACCACCGTACCCACAAAAAGTGATCCATTTTTCCATCTAGTCAAATGAAGCTATAAAAAATGTGCATAGGCGAGTGTGCAGATTGATTTCGTGATGTTTAGGTTTACATAAAAAACATCAATAGCCTGAATAAAGACAGGCAGGCCGTTAAAACTTAAAATGCATTAACCAAATTTACAGAAGCACAATGCATAAAAATAAACAATGGCTAGGGTTCTTGTTCAGCTGAATGGAAAGAGGAAAGGTTACATAATGTTTCCACAAATAGGTTGCACGGCGACCCGGCCGGGGACAGAGGACATATGACTGCGGCGCCGCCCCCTTCTCTACTGACAGCGGTCATACCGTCAGTTAGCAAAGCGAACTGAAATTGTCAGAGCTACTGCAATAAGCGTGACGAGATCGCACATTCAACCAGAAATACACTATATGTGAAACCATTGTGGTCGTTCAATGAAACTCTGCAATCCCGTTGAAACAACTGTCAAATTCAGGTTCACAACGCTGTTTAGGCATAGAAAAAATGACCACCTGCACTGCTACCGCTGGTAACTCATTTATGCTATAAAAAAGTAACATAGCATACAGCGAAGTGGCACGTTACATGGATAACTATATCCCCGCCTGACATCACAAAGCGAATGAGAAGCTCACAGCATCATACTGATACAACTTCAACAAATTTTGTTCCCCACAGTATCTCATTGCCTATGTGATTTTCAAGAGGGTATGAAAATCAAACACCAGGCGATGTATGTACGATTCATATGATGAATTGTAAATTTCAAGTTCCTCTCTAGAAATGGTTCTTTTTCACAACGATATATGGCTAGAAAGCAAGAGATTACGTCTCCATTTTAGATACCACAATTTCACCTATTTCACCTCAGTTCAATAGGATTGAGAGGAGCTTATAAGTTAAATTTGAGCATAATCATTCACGCATCCCCGACTTCAATATTTCGATAGTAAAAAAATACAAATATGACGGCGATGATTAGAAGGCCTCAGACAATGTAAGGAAGACAAGCAGTTCCTGGTGTTGATGGCCACTTACTGGCTGGCGGTGCCGACTCGGGTCCGAGTCCGACGGGCGGGGGCGGCGGCCCTCGGCCGTGGGCGGCCGGCAGGGGGCTGACGCCGAGCCCGGAGTGCGGCCCGGGCCTGGCAGACGGCGCCGCCGAGCTGTCGGCAGATACACCTGGTCAGCGGCGACAGCACGGGATGGGACACAGGCCACGCAACAAAACAACACACGACACTCAACAACGACATTCCAACACGCGGGACTAGGGCACGATATAGGCATGGTTCGAGGCGAGCGGTAGCCGTTGGACGTGCTACACAGTCTGAAGCAACAGTTCGGATGCAGAGACAAGCTTCTACGCCGAGATGCAGCAGGAAAATAGCGAGACAAACATTAAAGGAAGGGTGCCACCTTCCGAAATTTTTGTTCTATGAATCTATTTTACTTATTTGAATTTGTAGACGTGGTTAGCGCGTCCACAATATACAAAAAACCGAAACATTGCATTTAATACATTGGCCAAAAAAAAGATCGTTGTTTATATCACCACTACAACTCAAGGTCGTTTGATGTGGCAGCTAGGACGGCTGGCATATCCTGTTGTCATGGCAACATATCATTCTGCCATTTGCATTGATGGCGCAACTGAGACAAAAAGATGAACAAATAAAAAGGAAGAAGATAACATGATTTGAACTAAGTTGTAGGTAACCAAGTAGGTAACTGTTGGCCATATTTGCCAACAGTTAAAGAACATCAAATAAGTCTAGTAAAGGTTTTTCCTTTACAATGCTTAAGAGATCTATGGAACCCTTCACCCTTCATGCAACTTACTAGAAACACTTCCCAATTAAAATTTTAAAACTTAAGTGTATACCATAAAGAAAAAATATACCCTTTCAAAATGATAAAACATGCTTCAAAAGTATAACTTTTATACATACCTTTGCTGATTTCATGTTTTATAAAATACCCTTAACACGACGAGGAAATAGTGCTGAAGATTTTTGCCTGCCCGAATGCTGGCAGCAAAACTCGCAAATGATAACTTCACGTGCGGATTCAATGCTGACCGTCTCGAGCATAGGTAAGTGAAGCCGGTTTTTAGGTTCATGTGAGGCTAATCTTGTAAAAACTGCGTTGTGTCCAAAAGGTGGCACCCTTCCTTTAACACACAAGAGCGGAGATTATTGCCTATCCGAATTATTCTTAACATCATAAACCATGCTTGTCATTCGCTGCACAACAACCCAATTACGGTTACATCGTGAAACTAAGAACTATTCATTGCACCACCTGCGGCTCGTCATACCCGACTACAGACCCTCCACGTCATCATCATTGCGGCCCGCTTTGTCCCTGTGTTTGTCCGACCTCCGTCAGCGTCGGTTACCTGAGGGACTGGAGCCGGTCGGGCAGCGGGCTGGCCCGACTCGACACCGAAGCCGGAGACTGACTGAGTCGCGCCGCCGGGCTGTGACGAGCCGACAGAGACGCCGGGCTGTAACTGACCGCCTGTGGATGTCGGGAAACAGACGGTGGTGATTAGTACCGAATGGCGTTTCAGGATAAATCAGTGATAATTTCGGTGTCGGTGCAAAACACAAAAGACGTCCCTGCAGTTTTCCGTGGACATTGAACATCTCCAATCCACCAGCTATACAAACTACAGAGTACAGAGTCATTGCAGACCGCCACTCGCACCAGCAGGCGCTCCACAGCTGATCATCCCGGACGTACCTGTCGTCTGGATCCGGCAGGGGGCGGCGCCGGCGAGCCGCCGCCGTTCGCCAGACTGGTGGCCGGCGGTGACGGTGTGGCCACCAGGTCCGAGATGCCGAACTTGAGTCGCGGCGGGGCGGCCGGAGGTGGCGGCGGCGCCGGCTGGCCGCTCGAGACGGTCGGCCGCGCGCCCTCCACCGGGGTCTGACTCGGCTGGCTGACCTGGCCCCCACCGCTGGAATGGATGGGATGGCCCGGATACCGGAGATGATCCGGCGGGGGCGGATGGGCCGGATGGTGGCCCGGATGGCCCTTGTAGGCAGGGTGCGCCGAATAGTCGACGGTTGACGGGTGCGGGAGCCGTATGGGCTGTCCCAGGTGGCTGGGGTGGCCGGCCGACGGCGGCCGCGGACTGGTGTGGTTCGCAGGGGGCGGCCGCGGCCCGGGCTGCTGGCCCGGCCGGGGACTGGGGTGGGGACTGGGCCGGGAGCCGGGGCGCGGACTGGGGTGCGGACTGGGGCGGCCGCTCTGCGCCGACTGTCTGCCCGGGTGGGCCGCCGGCTCGCTGGTCCTGCCCGGGTACGGGCCGGGGTGGTGGCCCGCCAGACCCGACAGGGCAGACAGCGGGCTGGAGCTGCTCGTCGCCGACGGGTACGGACTCAGCCGACTGGTAGGGGCCATATGAGCGCCGGGAAGACCGGCCAGCGCCGGATGGCCGCCCGAGAAGCCGGGCAGGCCAAACACCGGGCCAGGGTGACTGCCTAATAAGTCAGGATATGGGCTGGGAAAGCCTGCTGCACTGGAGACGGGACTCGAGTAGCTCAGTCCCGGTCTGGAGCCTGACAAGCTACTTGCTGAGGTAAGATACTGACTGACAGTTGTACCAGGGTACTTGCTCGTCTGCAAAGACGGATGCTTGGCCATTGCTGAGTAGGAGCTCGAGTGGCTGGGGACAGCAGAACTTGAGCTGGGGTGTCTACCAGACAAGGGATGGGAGTCATTTGGATGCAAGTAGGAGCCACTATGGCTTGATATAGGTATGTGAGCAGATAAGCCCATATGGCCAGCTAGTCCAGGGTGGCCCGTCAGGCCTGGGTATCCCACGAGGCCTGGGTGACTGGTAAGGCCGGGGTGGCTCATCAGACTGGGATGGCTTACTAGGGCCGGGTGGCTGGTCAGACCTGGGTACATGGAGAGAGCGGGGTGGCCGAGCGAGCTCGGGGGTCGGCTGGCGGAGGGGCGGCCTGCCGGCCGGGACGAGCCGTCCCGGTGTGCGGCCATCGACTGCTGGGCGCTACCCTCGCCGGCCCGGCTGGCCTCGGCGGACGCCGGTCTCATGTCGCGGCCCGGCCGGCCCGACCCGGCCGCCGCCGGGTCCGGCTGGCTCCTGGCCGCCTGCTGGTGGCGCGGCGGGCCGCCGGCGGCCGGGTGTCGGCTCGAGTGGCCCCCGGTCGCCGGCGTCTGGCCCGGCTGGCTGGCCGCTGTGGCCAGCGCCGGCGGCTGCTCGGGCCGGCCGGCGGGACCGGCGTGGTGACCCGGCTGGTCAATCAGGCCCGGATGCGGCAGGAACCCGCGGGACACCAACTTGGAGCCGCCCGCACCGGTACCGGTATCCTGCCGACAAACAGTACGTTGTGAGCACGTCCTTAATCAACTTGAGAACTACCTAAAGAAGAAAATAAACCATTTTCTAGACATATTCGATGACGAGTGAAGATGGAAAATGATGTGTGCACAAAGCAGTTCTTATACGGCTGAAACTCGGTCTTACGCAATGTAATTTAGAATGTCAGAGCAGTTGTAAGAATATTGAGATGACAAAGGTTTAATAAACGTCAAACTAGAAGCAAAGACATCATTCAAATACCTAAATCCTAATGTGACTAAACTCAGGTCAGCAAGAATATGTTTGAGCATTACCTGTCGGCTGGTGTGCGGCTGGGCTGGGGTCGGAGGGCCTTCACCGGCGGGTTCATCCTTGATCGTGATCGGAGACGGTCCGGCGGAGCCATTGGTCATCACGGAGGCTGCAGTCGCCGCCACCGGTCCCGGTGGCTCTCCTGAAGGGAATGGAAACAACGGTGTGGTCATCCTCTGAGAAGAGGCTGGGTGATCGAGCAACTCAGTCTGATCATGACTTGAAGCGAAATTACCTAATCAAACACTGGTCACTGAAATGAATGTGTCAGCATTTACTGGAGCAGAGAAGAGAAACACAAAAGTTGAGACAGTCTCATGGTAACATTCACCATGTTAGCACAATTCAATGAATGATTAAATGAATGATTAAATGACTGAAATTCAATGAATGAATGATTAAACAATGATACCTAAATTAATGTTTTGAGCAATATAAAAGGAATTAGTGGAAGTCATAAGGAAGCATATAACAAGAAAAGTCAGAACAGCAGGCATTTGAACACTTACGCTTGCTGACTGAGTGGAAGATCTCTGAACCAGCATCTGAGATCTGAAATATCAGCAAACGAACATGAAGACAGGATGCATTTCCACCAAATAACTTGGTCAAATAATTTTTCTGAGTAACTTTTTGCTATTTGAAGTGCTACAGGCTGAAAAACTTCAATCCTTCACTATAGCTAGGCAAAATGCTTCCTCTGACACCCTGAGTAGATACCTGAGATTTGGTGCACCATATTCTGATCAAGAGTTCATAGTTTCTAAAGAATGCTAAATGTTGACTAGTTATCTTAACCCTCGCCCGTATAGTGGGGGGGGGGGGGGGTCGAACGGACCCCCCCCCCCCCCATAGTTTTTCGCGAATAACTCGCGTAAAAAGCGGCCGATCGCGACGAAACTTTCAGTACCCTCGCGTTCATCAATTTCACACCTACCCTGAAAATTTCATGACCGTGACCCAAATGACCTTTGACCTGTGGGCTGTGACCTACTTTTCGAGACCATGTTTTGCTGGAATCGCGATTAGGCGTACCTATGTCGGCTCGCATTAGCCGCGCGTTTGCAGTCTTTTCGTGGTTTCAAGCGTTCAAACATGTGATATGATGCTGCCCCCATGCATTAGGGTGGGTGTCAAGGTCACCTGAAGGTCAGGTCAGGTCATTGACCTTTGATGACCTCGGTTCACTTTTTCGAGTTTTACATGTTTCTAGGCCAGTTTTTTTAGCTGAATTCGAATTTAGCAACCATATGAACATTTACGAAGTAGTTTTGGTGCCTTCGTAGCATGTTACGAAGCTGTCAGAGGCGGTTGCCACCTACTACAAATACCCTTACTGGTTGACCTGACCTGACCTGACCTGACCTGGCCTAAATACATGAAGACAATAGACATCATCTGTATTCAAAACTAACATGATATTCGTGATCAGCACCCCGAAAAACCCCATAGCAGCCACACTTTACGACGTTCTAACAGGTCCCGATTTTCCTGCCTTTGGGATCATTGACCTGACCTGCAAGGTCAACCAATGACCTAGGACCTTAAAATTGGGTAACATCGGCTTTCTCTCGTCACGGGCAGCACGCTCGTTTTTTCCGCGAAGCTCTAGCTCAATCAGGGGCGAAACGGCAAGGGGGGTCCAACGGACCCCCTCCCCCCCCCTATACGTTCGCGGCTGGAAAAACACCAATACGGGCAAGGGTTAAGATGACAAGCCTTTCAAGTCAAACTTAAGGCTGGCCAATTAAAAGTAAGTTGGGTAGATGCAGTATAGTAAGTTCCAATATGTTCCACAGATGTGATAAAAAAAAATCGAAGTAAAATTTTTCAACCTTGCATATGACAAATAATTAAACAGCTTTGTGATGTTTTCAATAGGTACAAAAAGCAACGAATTTGAAGTTTTAATCAGCGACTTTCAACAGATGCTATAGCTGAGCACATATGGATCCAAGAAGGTGGGTATTCTTACCTTGCCATCATCACTTGCACTATGATCACACTGAAAACCAGAGAAATTATAGATTAGTAAACATTAGGAACAGGTAAGTATTGTCTTGCTTTAGCTTTAGTCATCACAAACCATGGTCTATGAGCCTTGCACACATAATTATTGGTAAAGGTATGTTATTATTGGTAAATTATGCTAGACCTCTTATTAAAGGCAAGAAAAAGGTTAAAGAGAAAAATATGGTTTTATATATTTTGATATCGCAGAACTTGTGGTCACACTAAAGAATGCCAGGTAAAAACTAAAAATAGGAAGGCAACAATTCAAAAATTAATCCTTTATAAAAAAAATCTTAAATATTTGATTGAATGGGAATGATAATATCACATTATGTTTTAGCAAACCCTGATATCCATGCAATTTGCTACAAATAACTTGACAACACTTGGGTAGCTGATGTCAAAAATAAAACTTACAAAATACCCATCTCCAGAACTAGCACCAGGATCCTGAAAAATAAACAACAAATCAATTATGGTAAGCCAGCATGGCAGATATATATGGCAGAATAGCTGAAATCTGCCTTATGCTGATCTTTATTGAATTGTGATGTACTAATTGGAATCAGACTAAATAACAGATGCCTTGAAAGACATAATTACACCATGTGGTAACAAATTACCTTCAAATGCTAATTGTAATAATCTAGAATGTGGGAATGTGAAACAGTCAAGCCTAGAACAAGCAATAATTAACAGTGATTATGTGAAACAACAGGAAAAGTTATAATCTAATTCTTTAAAAAAGATGAATCACAGCATCATTTATGACTTAAGGTGTTCATTGTCATGCAATGCAAAGAGTACCTGAGTGTGATCATCATGGTGCTTTCTTTTCTTTGCACTGACTGAATTCTCTTGAGTTGAGAGTAAGGGATCTAAGGTCTTGAACCCCTTCTTCTCAGCCAACTTCACAGCTCTCTAAAAGGGTGCAGAGGTACCATGAAAACATGTGAACATCAGCAATCTGAAGGAACATCTAGTAGGCTGGTACTTTTAAACATCTTAAATAACTATTCCCAATAATCAAATGAATTGTCAAAATTGAGGAGTAGCAATTACTTCACAATATTATGAATGCTTAAGATTCAGCAGGTAGCTCAGTAAAATGAATAGATAAAAATGGACACCTTTTCAGTTACATTGCACTGACTAACAAATTACTAATTCATAGTAAAGGTATGTTATTGTTGGTAAATTATGCTAGACCTCTTATTAAAGGCAAGAAAGAACAAGCCTAGAACAAGCACTGACTGAACAGACAAGGGATGGGAGTCATTTGGATGCAAGTAGGAGCCACTATGGCTTGATATAGGCATGTGAGCAGATAAGCCAGCATGGCTTATCTGCTCAAATACCTATATCACAGTAAAGGTATGGAAATGTCACTCAATAATTAAAAAATGGACATGATTGTTAATGAACACTTGACGTGTACTGTAGTCTGGCAAACCTAAGAAAGAATGGGTTTTAACAGCCCCAAAAACATACTATAGTCTGCTGCAGCCATTGATGCATGTGCATTTATATTGTGAGAGCATATTTTCTGTCACAACTTTTCACAAAAATTTCTTCCAACCATACATTTCAAGTGACCAAAACATGTGCAAAGTGATTCAGGTGCTTTGACTCCATTATTTCTTAGGTTTGTCAGACTAAAGGTACTGGAAATGTCACTTAACAATTAAAAAAAGAATAAATGAAAGAACAGGTGGTAAGGAAGCTTACCTCAATGTCACTATATGCTTTGAATGAATAAATAGCAAAACCATCAATAATATCTTCTTCGAAGAGAGGTTCTTTTAACTTTCGCTTCCTGTTGGGAGGCCTTGCTGGTCTTGGTTCCAATATATCATCCCCCGTCTCATTTCCATTATCAACATCTTTCACTCCAACTTCCTTCAGCTTTTGGGCCCGTGCCCTTCTTCTGTTTCTTTGCCTGTCTCGGTCCATCACACTTGAGTATATGGACTCATAAGCCCGAAAGCGATGGGGCAAAGTTCAATATCATACTACGCGAAGTTCCAAACACATGATTAGAAAGTCACCTCCGTCCCTTCGCGGTCAGCTGTGGAAGAGGAAAAGCACCAATTCAAATTAATTTTCCAAGGCAATGAGTTTTCTGTTTATGTCAAGGTACCTAAATGGCCGCTGCAGACAACACCAAAACCATGAGAACACCTTCAACTAACAGAACACATAAGAAAAGATGAGAATGATTCTACACCACATATAAATACAAGCATATCAGCCTCACCCTATCAATATTATTTTTCGAAAATATCACACGCTGAATCAACATCCCAACAAAGTCCACGCATTTTGTTTTGCTTTAGTTTAATGGCGGAAGCAGCCCGGCGACACAAATGTGGACTGAGACAGGCGGTATACAAGCTTCTTTTCATTTCAAATGGATAAAATATCCGAATAATACTTGCGAAACGAATCTCGTTTAAATAACATAATGAATTATAAGATAGATAACCATAAATTATCACCTAAAAACCACGTTTTGCCCGACCGTATTCTTTGCCTGGATGTGCTCCTGATACAATGTTCATCCGCAATCCCTTTCCATAGAAAATAGTGACATTGCACTGCGAGATGAGTTGTTTGTAAGCTAAGAACTTCGTTAAAATAAATATTTTTTGTCGTTATTTAATATTTTAAGCCTATGGAAATATCGAACAACTTGGTTATAGAAACCGTTCGGGGATAAGCAAAGCAAAAATATTGGAAATGTCGTTTTTTGTAATTTATTGAATGTGGTAGCTCCAGGATGTTGCCAGTAACGGCGCAAAGAAGGCATTCCATTTTTAGAAGCGACCAGGAAATTTTATTCAGGCATCTTTTCCAGTTGTGGAACCGCTGAATGTGGAGCGTTTTTTCGCTAGAAGAGAAAATCTTATCATTTATTTTCCTTTTGGGCAACTTCACAACAAATAAACGAAAAGATACAATGCGCTTAGGTGGTTGGGTATACTAAAGGCCGCGGTACAATATAGGTATAACTCTGTAACAGTTTAGCCCGCCCCCGCTCGCTTCTTTTCGCTATCCGAGCAGGCAGACGTATCGGTTATCAATCCCATAGGCGGCGGAACGGGGAGGGCACCGGGGCACCTTGCCCCCCTTTGATTTTGGCATTTTAACATTAGCCCTATGGGCGTTGCATGGAAAGAATGGGACCAAAAGTCGGCAGTGCCCCCCCCCCCCTTAATTGAAGGTGTTCCGCCGCTCCTGATCAATCCTGGTAGCAGAATAGTGAATTGTTCTCAACTTTTTGTCTCAATCGCCAGTCCCTCCTCCCAGCCCCAGTTCCACCCAAAGTTCCTAGTGGCACAGCCCTCCCGACTTCTTGCCATCGACTCAGCCCCTCCCCCCCCCCCCCCCCCCGACCCAATGTTAGATCCGTTTGGAGACCGGTCTGTCGTCTGATCTCTGAACTTCATTCAGATCAAATGCAGATCGGTGTGAGACTCCTTCAGACTAGTATTGCGTCCTGAGGCTGAGATCGTTTTAGGCTCCTCGAGTCTTTACCTACATAGACTGGCAAGTGATCTCAGACGGAATGAAGGCTTCCTGAAGACTGAAACAAATTATTCGGAAGTCAGGAAATCGCACATGAGAGCCCTTTTTAAGTTCAAATATAATTAAATCCCACTCGCATGCACCTCCGTGCCTGCAACATGGTGTGAGCGAGAGCTAAATAATTTTAAGGGGATGTTATTTCCTGAGTCCTTACTGCATAAATAATCTTTCAGCATTACGGGCGTCAATGGACAATGTATCATTTTTGTTTTGCCAGGCGACTCCCGCAGACTTTGGGAATTATTCGAATCTCGCATGCGCTGACGCTAGGCAGGCATACAGCGTACCTATACCTACCATTTAGGCACGATGGACGATAAATAAGACAAGCTCGTCTATTTTTTCCTCCAAATATTCATCATTTTCATGATGTTTCGCGGTTACAATTGTGTCTATTTTAGATGCATTTCGTGAAGGCAACGGTGTGATGTGCATTGTGCAAGACACAGTTTAGGTCAATGGGATATATTGGGCTTCAAGTTCAGACACGATCCGGAATATTTTTTCAGTCAATGGCGGTCGGGGATCTTTATTCTTTCTGATTGTCAGCAAGTGTACCTAAAGATCGCTTTGGAATGTATCGATTTCGAATCAAGGCATCTTTTAAAACGACGGGCGTGATTTCGCTGAGCTGCGCGCTTTTTATGTTATTACGGCGTTTCCTTCGTCGTTTTATCATATTTTATATTTACTAGGTAGTAGGTACCTACTTATCAAATGGTCGCACTCGGCACTCGCATTATTTTGTTTTATGGTCGTTTGTCGGTCTGAAATTCACATGCCGTTTCTATCCACGCAAAATAACTATAATTGCAACGACAATCACTAATTAGCTATTATAAATATACACAATTAATTGCCTTCAGATAGGATTTAAACCCGCCGTTAAGGCCCAGGGGAATGCCGTTTCGTACTTATGATCCTCACTGCTCAGTAGGTAGTGACAACATATTTCACTGACGACAGACTGCTTAAATGTAAAAAGCACCATATTCAAAGCATAGTCGGGACGATATTTAAATTCGTATCAACTGGGTGCGATGGAACTCGTAGGTACTCAGAGTTGGAAAAGCCCGGTTGATCTTCTCGTAATAAAACGTCTTTTGTCTGGTGAAGGGCACCATAATTCCTACTTTCTAGAAGGGCGAAATGCCATTGACCGTCCCCACGTTTAGCGCCGTATCGCACCGGGGTGGCGTCGGCCTGAGAGCCTCCCGCCCGCCCGCCGACCCGCCCACGAGCTCCGACCCGCGCTGGCGTTGGCCGCCCGGCCGTGCATTGGCAGCGCAGTCGATCGCGAGCGCCCGGCGGGTCGGGTCGCGCCACCGTGGAGGTGTTCCTGTCGAGTGGGTTGTGTAAACCATGGCGGACCGACCCCCGCCTGTGAAGAAGGTGCCGCTGCATCTCCAGGTAGGCTTAAAAAGTGGCCTCACTTTCTGTCCTGGGACTTGTTATTTGCCATTGTACCTAATTAAATGCGTACGGGTATTGGGCATTTTTCTAGATCATTATATGAATAGACATATCTACGTGCTTTGCTGCTATACATAGACGTCTCATCATCATAAAAACACCATTCTCCTTTAGACATTTGAGGCTTTGTATTCGATCATTAACAGTGGTTCAGAACTAGGTGTAATCAACAATAATTATTCAACAGTATTATCTAACGTTTTCTTACGAATATGTATATTAGAAGCTTTGAACATAAGTGCTATGATTCCATTGTTTTCCGATGTTTGCTTCACACCAGATAATTTTCTAAGGGAGAATGATATATTTATATATTAAACCGCTAGTAGGTAGAACAAGTCTTGTAAACGTGGAGCCGATAGGCGAGACGTTTAAAATATTTTTATACCTACGAGCGGTTTAATATATAATTTCATCCCGTACCACCGATATCTTTCAGGCATATACAGAATACGACATATTTCACACTATAGTCTGTACCATATCAAGCTTGCAGTTGGAGTTTCTTCGGCAGATCGCTCCTCCGCTCAAGAATTTGAGTCTTAAAATGTAAGAGCTGTATATACAGAAATTACGCACTGCTTCCAGCAGGGCACTTCGGCTGCAGCCTGCAAACTTGAAACGGAACAGAGTATAGACAATATCTACTAGACGTTTAACAGTTTAATCGTCTAGACGTTTAAGCACGACATCTGATATCTCTGTTTGCACGCGAAGCAATTGTATACGGTGCGGGATCAATACGATTTTAGGTATAGGTATCACTTCATCAAGCATGTGTAAGTCCTGAACAAACCAGCCCATCTGTTAATCCGAAGCTGCGACGTTTATCAGCAAAAGCTTATATGTTACACTCTATTGTATTCTATTAGATCGCCGGTCACTTGGTCGGATAGTGAGGTACCGGGGCCACCGGCTGCTATTCTGGGGCGATGCCATGGCAGCGAGGGGCGGAGACGGGGGCCGCTGGCAGCGAATGTCAACAGCCGCCTGGCAGGGCTCCGGCTCCGTCCCTGACCCTGGCAGGCCTATTGAGCTGCAGGGCCCGCAGCTGAGCTGACTGGTCAGAACGGGCTGCCAGCCAGCTAGGTGGGCGGGTTCCGCAGTCACCCCCACTCAGAAGCACCCCCCCCCCCCACAGCTGGCATTCACACCTGATAATTATTGTTGTCAATCCGCCAAGTTCTCTGAACGAACTAGGTCGGCTAAGCCAGGTCCAACAATGCCATCTTTACCTACAAAGCAAGACATTAATCTCGAGTTCTTAACACGTCTCCCAGCTTTCAACCGGACGCACAACCAATGTCGTCGTCCCGTCTGACATTGCCAACAGAGCGCCCAAAACCGTCTGCTCATCAAAGGCGGTCGAGTCGTGAACGAGGACCGCATCTTCGACGCCGACATCTACATCGAGGATGGCGTCATCAGGTAGGTCCATTAGTCCAATCAACTTTAAATAACCGCGACGATGATAAAGTACCGTACTCTTTACGTGCCTTAGTTTCCCGATTACTTATAAAATGGGCAACTCGGCTGTTCTAATCTCCAGACTGTATGTGATAACACATACTTTTACAAATTAGACTGTTTGGAAATTGGCGGTTACTGCCACCGTTTACCTCCCTTGCGCGATACAAAGCGAGCGAGCCGGACAACGTGGTAGGTATACATACGATACAATATCGCTCTCTACTTTTGATTCTGCGGGTGACATCGCACAATGCCGACAGGTTTCTCCGTACCTGTTTGTGCGAAAGCATACCACATGGATCAGCACCTGAATACTCGCGGGTGTCACGTTATTTACATTTAGAATAGCTGCAAGAGCCAACAAAACTTTGGACTCCCTGCCCTCGATGCCGAAACATCATGCATGACATACATTTAAAATGTGGTACATGATTGAAAACAATCCATGGAAATACCGATGGAAAATAAGAAATAGCGATCTGGAAAACTTCGACAGCTGGGCTGTGTGTGTTTGTAATGGCAGATTTACGAATAGACGTGATACATTTTTATTTAAAGACGATTATCGTTTGGTGTTGCTGTTCCTTTAGCGCTACTTCTCTACATAACGTTCCGTGTTTATTTACAGGCAAATAGGGCAAAACCTTATAACGCCAGGAGGGGCACGTGTCATCGAGGTCAACGGCAAATATGTAATGCCAGGTAACACACGTCAACTCTCACTCACTATGTTTAATAATTATTTTCTTGGTAAAAACGCTTTACATTTATTTAACCGCTAACTCTTACCAAAAACTCGTACGCTGTGCCTGTTT